TGCTAGAGCCCCCCTCATCAATCAAGCATGAAAACAGTTTGCCCATGTTCTTTTACGACTTCGTAGTGAGGTGAGGTAAGCATAGAAACTAAGAATGCTTGTGAGAACATCAGAGACATACATTCATTCAACCTTGCTGAGGTTGTCTCCTCTTCCCTTCACTGCCTTGCCCCCCCTCTTTTTATTATCCTGATAAACAAACAAATCCTGTAAAAATATCGCACGGGACATTAGTCCTGTTCATACATCAGGCAGCATCAGGCAGCAGTCCTCAACCTCAATTTGACACACCAGACTTTATTCACGTACTGTCCTAATCGGGCAAAAAAACATGCCACAGTGGCAGCATCAGGCATGGCCGTTCTCACCCGACGTGTTTGATTCAAAAACGAAACAATGCAACTGCTGCAGGCAAGGGAATGTTTGGAAGCAACCAGCACTAGCCGTGATAATGGCTCCTTAAGTAGGAGTGCTGGCCTGCTCATTCGTGCCGGGCCCCTCATTCCCGAGCTGCACTGTGATATGCCAATCGTTCACCTGACGGAAGCTTCGTTTACTTCCAAAAGCTTGCACGACTGTGCTGATGAACCAAACAGATCCAAAAGAGAATCTCCCACCTAGGGAGCAGAAATGAATCCGATACAAGGCATTGCTCGCTCTAGCCATGAATCCAGCTCTTTTTTCTCTCAGCGCTATATCCATCAGAGCGAGTTCCCTAGAAGCATTGATTTGCTAGGCGGTGAACAACACTCTCCATTACATTGACCGTTTCGCCCTCGTGACTGAGCCTATATCCCCAAACTTCTCCGCAGCGAAAATCTACAAATCTGAAATCTCCCCAAATCTCTCCAACGTGAAAACTTAAAAAATGTCTGATGAATCATGAGTTCAGTCTTGACATATGCACAAAGGTTGTGCATGAGCTATTTCTTACTCTCATACTGAGAAATGCAAACACCCCACACGCAACCGAGCAAAGTAGAAATTGCAGGCGCAGAACTGACATGCCAAATATGTCTGCAAACCAGGAAACCAGTCCCCCATCTCATCCCGAGGACTTGCTGTAGGGAAAATATATAAATAAACATTTAAATAAGTAAAATCAGTACATAAATAAACAAGTAAATGCCTACATGTGCTGCCTTTCAACAGTTGTCAAGGCTTGCACAACTGCTCAGGGAGTAACACCGATAATGATGATGATGGTGATGATACTGATGCAACAATGGCTACTAGAATGCCTGCCTGCTGAACGGAATGTCATACAGACAGTGCAGTTTTCTTTTCTTTTTGTTTTTCCCTTTAAAGGAGTTTACGACTGTTTTCTCGTTCCAATTACCGGACTGGAAAGAGCCCAGTATTGTTATTTATTGTGACTACCTCCCTATATCCGGATTGGGCAGTTTATGCGTGTGCTGCGTGCCTTGAAAAAAGCAAAACTGCCGTGGCAAGAACAATTCCAACCTTGATGTGCCAAGTGGCAGCTGATCGTTGCCCCGCTGCTACCGTGACAGTGCCCTCATAAACCTCTGAAGAGAGGCAAGCAGTCCCATTGCTTGTGTTGCTGCAGAGGGTGCCACATTCTTCTCCGATCCTCCTCCCTGCATGGCGGTCATAAAAATTGTATCGAGATCGTCAGGCTCTGGCTTTGAGTTCTGCTCCTCGAGAAGAACATACCGCCCCGGAGCTTCTGAGTCATCGATAAACACCTGCCAAGGTCTGGGGTAGCACCTAAAGACACAACCCACAGGGAGGGGGCGCATCGAGTACGCAGTTGCGAATGAGCCAAGGAATTCATCACGCATGCGTCTCGCTGTCAAGCCCAGCCCAATGTCGCCACTTGTCAACTGGGCATTCCATATGACAAGTGGCTTTAGCTTTGACTGCGCCCCACCGTCTTCGCCGCTATCATTCAAAGATGCAGCAATCTTCATGACAATGTCAAGGAGCTGGTAATCTGGGGCAATCATCACAACCACCTCGTCATCATCAGAAACAGGCATCCTGTCATTCAGACTGGAAATTTGAAAGGACGCCCTCTCTTTCCATCTATAGCTCAGTAGAGCCGCCGAACCAGCATCAGGGAAGATAGCTCTGAGGTGTTGCACACCTAGACACATTTGCAACGCATTCAGAAACAGCCGCGACAGTTCCCACAGCTGAATCTGTGCTCCATCCTCTTCAAAACTTTCCAGCTCTGGAATCAGGTATTCCACCAGAGCACGCTGGCCACCAGCAGAGAAAACCTCCGCGACAGCCTGACTAGACTGTAAGACTGCACCTTCAAGACTTTCTGGTAATACATCATCATCTCTCAAGTCCTCTTCCGGCAACGGAGATGCAACATCATCCAGCCTTACTGGCACTGTGTCATCACCAGATCCCGCTGGTGCAGAATCCCCTAGGCTAGCATACAGCAAGTGACGTTGAAACCCCACATGCCGCGTCCCATACAGCAAATGACGTCGAAACCCCACATGCCTCCTCCCCAATCTACTGGTGAGTGAATACGGCCCTGTGAAGAACACTTTCAATTTCTTCCAAGGGTCACACGACGATAACCCTTTGCTGAAGTATGAACGACATAGTAACAATGACGAGGGAAACTGACCTGTCGGCGAGAACGACGCAGGAAACTGACCTGTTTGCGAGAACGATGTGGGAAACTGACCTGTTTGTGAGGATAGCGCCCCATACACATGGGGTTTCGTCCTTTTCAAGTCCCTGTTGTTAACCCTTGCCTCAAGGGTCCCTGTCTCTAACTCCTGCTTGGCCCAGTAATAGGGGTTAAAGACAGGGATCTGCAGGTCCCTGTCTTTAACCACTACTTGGCCCAGAAATAGTGCCTTGACCGGCTGATGCTTCCTAAGAGTTCTCGCATAATGCCTGTTGCTGCTTCTCAAGCAGCAACAGTTGGCACTAGAGGGCCGTAACCTGCAATCGGTTGACTGGTGAGGTGCAATAAAGACAGTCTCTGGACACGAGATAAGCCCACTGCTAACACTAAGCGGGTCCCACTTCTTAGTACCACCTGGGCCCAAAAAGTTCCTTCCCCCAGTTGCCTGTAGATGGAGCGCAAGAGGCAAGGCTTCTGCAGAGGTGGGTACTGCCATTGCAAAGAAACCTCCAAACCAGCTTCCCTTTCACTGCGAATCCGGAACATTTCATGTCGAAAAAACAAGAGGTTAAAACTGAGCAACAACAGGTCAAGTGTGAAACCGAGGCAATACCCTGGGGAGGCAAAATGAAGCATGCAGCTTTAGCTCTCAAAAGAGTCTCAAACAATCAACCACATCAACATTCCACAAGATATGGCAAGTCCATCAGACTCGGCGGTTCAGTTAGAATCCGTTTTGTGAGATGCAAGAGACACCCACTTCGCAAAATGACACAATTCTTGGGAAGCTCCATGCTAACCAATTTCTCTCTCTCTCTCTCTCTCTCTCTCTCTCTCTCTCTCTCTCTCTCGCTCGCTCGGCAAGTCCATGAGACTCGGAGGTTCAGTTAGAATCCGTTTTGTGAGATACAAGAGACCCCCACGTGACAGTTTGTCTAGGGCATGCATAAACATGAGTAGCAACCGCAACAGTGTTAGGCACAACTTGTACGAGGATCAAGGAAGTACACGGGAGTACGAACTTGCACAGAAATGGCTACTGTGGGCCTTACACCGTCGGAGAGTGAGAAGTTCTCGCAGCAGAGACCACTGTTGCCAACAATGGATGCAATGGAGACGAAGACATTACTGCATATGCAATCTGTCCCGGCAGGAGAGGGAGGTGCAAGGAAATTGAGCGAGAGCGACAGACAGAAAAGCTGAGAAACCAAATTGCAACATCACATGGAAGACCAGATAGTCATGAACCAAGCAGAAATTAGGATGCACTGAGATACAAGCCAGATAAGAACAAAGCAACAAACCCAAATGTCAATGTCAGCCCCAACTAGCCACCATCAACAATGTATCCAATGTCACTCTTCTTGATTGGCGCTCAGCGTCCAGCCTACCTCTACTCAGAACCTGTACTAGCCTACAGCTAATGACGATGCAACCAGGAATCACTTCCAGCCGAACACCAATGTACATGAAGAAGTCGCCTATGCAGAACAGACATCAGGTATGCATCTCTTCTCCCTCTCTCTCCTACTCCTTGTCCCCCACATCGTGCATCTCCCAACACCTGACGACTACCATATCCCTCTTCACCGACAACTTACAAGCTGGCCCCGCTATGGCTGCTCGCGCCCGCTGCCACTCATCAGCGCTCGCTCTCCTCCAGCACCCCTGTGTGCCCCAGCCTCGCAGCAGCCTGACAGCGTTCGAACTGGCAGTGTGGGTGCATGAATGTGCAAGGCCAGCATGCCTGGCTGGGGCAGAGCACCTTCCTTTATGGCAAGTGCTGGCGAGCAGTGGGGCCGAGTAGCTTCCTGTTGGGCCAAAGTATCTTCGCTCAGGCCCAGATTCAGATACCGGCCTGGGACAAATGCAGTTAGGCACGCCCAACTGTGCGACACGGCTCCTGTCACTCGCTGCGCCCTGATTGGCCGAAAGGCCTTGCACCACGCCGCTGCCTGGAAGAGCCTGGAAGGCTCAAGAGGTCTTGGTTGCACACGCAGGTGCCCTATGACCAACTGGCGCCCAGTAACTGTCTGACACACCCAGGGCCTGGAAATGTTTGATTCGTGTGCCCCCCAGGCCCGCCTGTTCTCAGGGCGAGCAGTTTGCAGGCTCAGCGGGCCCTGTGGTGCTTCCTAGGGCTCAATCCCTTGCACTCTCTCCTCCTGAACTTCGAAAGTCCACTGAGACACTTTTACCTAACTGAAGCCTTCCCACTTAGTCTTCGTCCATGGTAGAAGACTATCTGAGGTGCTGTTTGCATCAGCTCCTCCTTCATGAACCAATGATCTTCCTCTGGATCTGTGTCATGCCTAAATCTGACCCGGTACTCCCTTGAAGGTTTTGGCAGTCTTCCTCAGCCAGCTGGATTCGGAACAGGCACATCTCGATGATCAACAATGTTGTCTATGTCCATGTAGCCATCAAAGGTTGGGGCCAGCATCGATCTCCTTGAAGGAAATTGGTCAGTCTCAGCAAAAGGTGCAAGCTTGGCGGTGTGAAATACAGGATAAGTGCAAGTGGCCTGTGGCTCAGCGGTTAGGACACCGGAAGTCAATGCGCATTGTGGTCTGAGGGTGTGGGATCAAAACTGCACACCTTCGCGCAGAGACACCGGAGGGCGTTTAGATAACGCACGGTCACTTGCGTACCTTCTTGAGCTGACGCAGGCAAGCAACTACAGACACTGCCGGCGGACCGCCCAAGGGTTGTCCACGGTGTCGTATGTCGGGTCTCGATGCTGTGTGGGTTGCTTGTTGCTGCTGGTCGTGGTGGTTCTGTTGATCTCCACAGTCTGGCATATCACACATAGGTGCCATTTGCGATTGTTGCTCATATGGTAGAGTCTTCCATTCACATGTCATAGATCACGGGTTCGAGTCTGGCTTGGGACTTTGGGGGGGGTCTTGTCCAGTTTGGCCTGTCATCTCTTCAAAGAACACATAATTCCCTCCACATAGGGTTGCACATATCTGGCCTTCGGGCACATACACAATTCCCTCTACATAGGGTTGCACATATCTGGCCTTCGGGCACATACATCTCGCTAGACAGTTACACAGAGCACACGTAGTGTGGCATACTGCGCATCCACACGGGCCTGCAGGGCCCGACCAGACGGACAATAAGGGCCCTCCAGGCCCTGTGTCGTTTCAGCCTAAAAGCCTGAAACCGAGGGCCTGCCCTGAAACTCAGGCGCCAGACCAGGGGTTAGCACAGGCCAGCTTTGGGCCTGTTTGAAGACAACCTTTGTTTGAACTTCAACGCCAGGGTCTGGCACGTTTCGGCATTGGCAAGAGCAGCCTCCCAGATGGGCCGGCACTATATAGTACTGGCCCGCCTTGCAGGCTGCAGGTAGTTCACGGGAACTTCCCAGGCAGTTCACGGGCACTTCACGTGCAGGAGGCAGGAGGCAGTCTTTAGGAGTTGGCCGCAGCACTCTGGAGGAGCGCTGCAGTAGTAGTAGTAGCTAGCGCTAGGGTAGTCTTCAGCGCTGGGTGCTGCTAGGAGGTAGAGTAGCACTGGGAGAGAGAGAGAAGGGCGGAGGCCAGGGAGACTTACCTGTGGCGCCATAGCTCCAGCTTCGTCTTCGATGTACCTTCACAGGTTAGTACTTGGTACAAGAGGGAGAAAGAGAGAGTTCTTGTTCTTCCTCCTCTAAGTCCATCTCTCCCTCACCCTCTCGCCACCTGACTTCTCAGTATCTGCAGAGTACGAGAGAGAGAGAGAGAGAGAGAGAGAGAGAGAGAGAGAGAGAGAGAGAGAGAGAGAGAGAGAGAGAGAGAGAGAGAGNGAAAAAGGTGTCAGAGGGAGCAGTCGGCTTAGAAACAAACCCGAGAGTTTGTGCAGACGAAAAGTATTGAGCTTAAGGCTTCCAAAAACATCCCACAAAGTCACATAGCTGTCTCTTATACACATCTAGATGTGTATAAGAGACAGATTTGTGACTGTGAGACTTGACGACATTTGGATCATTTGGATTCAGACTCGACATTGGGATTGAGACATTGGACGAGGGATTATTTGGGACCTGTACCGAAGACTTGGTGTTGACGACATTCCCATCTCCCCCTCTTCTTCGTCTAATCCCCCTCCTCTTCATCTGTGTATGTTTGGGACTGGAGCATTCTTCCTGTGTGAGCGCCAGGTCCCTTGACACCATGCGATGATGATGATGCATGTTTGGTCTGCATTGCAACATTCATTGGTCTGATCATTGCTATTTTAGCTTTCCGCTGCGCTATCCTGTACTATGTGAGAGAGATCGGTTCTTGTTCTGGTCTGTACCATTACAGTATGCAACAGTTTGATACCGGAGTGGACCTCTCAATCAGAGGATCCGCCAATCAAGGAGTCAGCTTGCTTGTTTGACTGATTGATTGATTGATTGATTGATTGATTGTTTATTAGTTAATCAAGTAGGGCTTCGTCAAATCTCTGCAAAAAAAAAAATTCTCTTTTTCGCAACTTTGGAGATTAGCATTTCGTTTTTTTGTTTCACTCTGGGCATTAGGTGAACTAGGGAGGTTGTCATATTCTCGGACTCGATCTATTCTTCTCTGAAACTGGAACCTCCATTCTATTTCATGCAAAAAAAAAAAATTCAAGATCGCATTTTTTTTTGAAAGCCGAAACTTTGCGAAACCTTGCCTAGATCTCGTTCATAGCACTCCTCCGTAATACCTCACTGACAGCAGATCGACAGGTGTACAAAAAAAAAAAAAAAAAGGGGGGGTGATCCTCTTCTTTTACTTTTTATTTATTTTATTCTGTTGATTAGGACCGGAACGGAAAGTGTAGTTTTGTTACCTTCCTGCGTTTCCCTCCCACCCACCCCTTTGTCTACATTCCAATTGGGAAGTGCCACGTCAGCAGTGCCACGACAGCAGCAGTGCCACGACAGCAGCAGTGCCACGTCAGTTGCAGTGCCACATCAGCAACAGTGCAATGTCAGCAGTGCCACGTCAGTAGCAGTGCCACATCAGCAACAGTGCCACGACAGCAGCAGTACCAACGTCAGCAGTGCCCCGCCACAATGATGGTTTCATCTTTGGGCATGCCAGGCCAACTGGCCAATGAGTCAATTGCCGTGTACCGGCAGTGGTTCCAAGCTCAGCTCGCACTGATCGAGGCTGAGAAACAGCGCCAGGCGGCAGCCAAGGCTGCCCGCCTACAGGCTGAAGCAGAAGCAGCAGCTGAAAAGCAGCGGCTTCAGGCCGAAGCTGACGCAGATGCCCAGGCCTGCCGCAAGGAGGCCTAGGATCTGCTGCAGTGGCACGAAACCGCCAGTGTCGACAAGCTCAAGTTCTGGCATTTTGAACCATCCGAGAGCCACGAAGATGCGACACCGGATGTGGCATACTGTGCCACACGGGGCCCAGTTACGGGCCGTTTCCCAGTAGGCAGGGTAGGCCTAGGGGGACGACGGTTCAGACCAGGCCCAGATAGGCCAGAGACAGGGCACGTTTAGGCCCAAACGGCCAGAGGCCGGTACCGGTTCAGATTAGAACCTACCGGTGGCGTTTCAGAGGCTGCCCAGAGTTTAGGCGCCAAGACCAGTTTGAATCTGGACCGTTGATCCGATCAACGGTCCAGGCCAGTAGGTACCAGTAGGCAAGAGGCCGGCCCAGCACTACAAAGGCTGGGTACCAGCATCAGTCAGTAGAGTTAGTATGGACGGGGTTCGTCTTCAGGATTAGCGCAGCAGCCAGCGTTAGCTCGGTTAGCGCAGCGCTGCAGCAGCGAGGATGTTGCATACTGTAATTGTGCAGACCAGACCAAGAACCCACCTCTCAATACAAAGTATAAGATAGCACAGCGGAAGACTTAGATACCAATGATCCAAACAATCAATATTGCAATGCAGCCCCAAACATACATCATCATCATCATCATTCCATGGTGTGAAGGGGTCTGGCGCTTCACACAGGAAGACTGCGCCAGCCCCAACCATACACAGACGAAGGAGATGGGGGTTAGACGAAGAAGAGGGGACGAGGGGAATGTCGTCAACACMAAGTGTTCAGCACAGGCCCAAATAGTCCCTCGTCGAAATGTCTGAMTYCCAAAGGTCGAGTCTGGATCCAATGTCGTCAAGTCTCCAGTCACAACTCTCTCTCTCTCTGTAGTAGTCCGCTGATACTGAGAAGTCAGGTGGTGAGAGTGGAAGAAGAGATGGTGGACATAGAGGAGGAAGAAGAAGAACTCTCTCTCTCTCTCTCTCTGCGTCCAGTACTAACCTGTGAAGTTGGCGCCTTGATGCAGGTACCTCGAAGATGGAGCTGGAGCTATGGCGCCACAGGTAAGTACCGCTGGCCTCCGCCAGCCATCTCCCTCCACTGCAACTACTACCACCTACTAGCGCCCAGCGCTGAAGACTACAGCTATGGCTATGGGCGCCCAGCGCCGAAGACTACTACTACCGCTACTACTACTGCCTAGCGCTGAAGACTACTGCAGCGCTCCTCCTGAGTGCTGCGGAC